AAAGGCTAATGCAATTCTAGGGTGCATTAGGTGAGGTATTTCAAATAGAGAGAGTGAATTCTTATTACCATTATACATGGCATTGGTGAGATGTCATCTGGAATAGTGTGTGCAATTCTGGTCTCCCATTTTTAAGAAATATTAATTCAAACTGGAACAGGTGCAAAGAAGAGCTACTGGGGTGAACAGAAGAATGGAGTACCTATCTTACAAGAGGAGACTTAAGGAGCGTGGCTTATTTAGCCTAACAAAATGAAGGATGAGCGGAAATATGATTGCTCTCTATAAAGACATCAGAGGATAAATACCAGGAAGGGAGAGGAATTATTAAGTTAAGGCACAAGATGTTGGCACGAGAACAAATGGATAAAAACTGGCCATCAATAAATTTAGGCTTGAAATTAGACCAATGTTTCTAGCCATCAGAGGAATAAAATTCTGGAACAGCCTTTCAAGGAGAGTAGTGGCGGCAAAAAATCTAACATTTCAAGATTTGAGCTTGATAAATTTGTGAAGGGGAGGGTATGATTAAATTGCCTACAATGGCAAATAGCCCATCTGTGAATGTTGTTAGCAAATATCTCCAATGGCCAGAGATGGGACACTAGTTTGAGAAGGCTCTGAGTTACCCAGAGAATTCTTTCTCTGGCTGGTGGGTCTCACCCACATGCTCAGGGTCTAACTCTTTGTGATATTAGGAGTCAAGAATGAATTTCACCTAAGATCAGATTGGCAGAGACCCTGGGTTTTTGGTTGTTGGTTTTCTCCCCCCTTCTCTGCGGCATGGGGCATGGGTCACTTGCTGGTTTGAACTAGAGAAAATGGTGGATTCTCTGTAATTTTAAGTCTTTTTAAATCAAAATTTGAGGACTTCAGTAACTTAGTCAGAGGTTATGGGCCTATTACAGGAGTAGATAGGTGAGGTTCTGTGGCCTGTGATGTGCAGGAGTCAGACTAGATGATCATGATAGTTCTGTCTAGCCTTAAAGTTTGTGAGTGTATGAGTTCAAATCACATCCAAGCCCCAAATAATGATTTTTTTAAATTGTAGCCATAAAAGCATTCAAGCATTTTAAAAGCAAGAATATCCCTCCTAACAAGAGCAAAGTCAGTGATGAAGGAAAAGAGAAACAATGTTTTGAACATCAAGCAAAGGGGAATCACCAGTTTCTGAAAACATGGCTAACGAAATACCCCTGGTTAAAGTATGATGGTAAAAGAGGAGTGATGTTCTGTGCCCTGTGTCGCAAGCATAATGTGAACTTGGGGGAAAACATACATAATTTTTGTTCTGGGACTGACATCTTTAAGCTTGAATTTATAAATATACATCACAGCAGTGAAGCTCATGCCTGGGCTAGTTGCATGGAAGCCGCCAGCAATGCCACAGGAGACCAAGCGTCTACTGAGCAGATGTTAAAGAGCATGAGCAAAGTAACTTTAGGACGAATAGAAAATATTTTTAGAACATGCCATGCTATAGCCAAGTGTGGACGTCCTTTTACAGACCTTGATTGGATGTGCAAACTGGATGACATGAAAGGTGTGGACATTGGTTCTATGTTTAGAAATGACAAGTCAGCAAGAACATTTATACATTATATTGCTGAAGTAGAACGTAGGGCCTTGAAAGAGAAACTTGAAAAATGTAAGTTCTTCTCCCTCATTAGTGATGGAGTCGCAGACAATGCAATCAAAGAAGCTGCAGTTGTATATGTACGCTTTGCCTATGAAGGAAAAGTCCACTGCCAGATTGTTGGGGTTCAATCAGTTGACAAGTCTGATGCTTCAACTATAAAAAATGCCATTGTGAAAACTTTGCAAATAAATCTTCAGCTCAATCTGTCAAGTCAAGACTGGTCAAGAAAACTAGTTGGGTTTGGGAGTGATGGTGCAGATGTCATGGTAGGAGAAAACAATGGGGTAGCTAAGCTGCTGAAGGAAATTCAGCCTTGTGTGCAGTCGGTGCATTGTTTTGCTCATCGACTTGAACTGGCTTATAAGGGAGCACTGAAAAGCATTCAGCTATACACCACTGTAAGTGGTCTCTTGCAAAATATATATTACTTTTATCATAACTCACCTCTAAATAAGAGCAATCTCAATTCCACATATGAAACCCTTAAGCTACGTCGAGCGATTCCCTCTCGAATTGGAGGCACCCGATGGCTTTCTCGCCTACAGACAGCTCTCCAGATCCTTCTTAAGGGTTACCCTGCAATTCTCCTGCATATGAGTAAGGTAAGTGCTTTAAAATTTTTATGTATCTTGACCAAAAAAAAAAAAAGCAAACTCATGGCTACTTGTTTGTCACCATTTTCATTGACATGTATTATTTTTCTTGTTGAGTTCCAGATGCAAGGAGACCCAAGTGCCTCAAATCACCAAAAAGTCAAAGGCCTTCTAAAGCTTCTTCTGCAAATGGAGGTTGTCAAGTTCTCTCATTTCTTGCTGGATATCATTAATGTCCTCAACATTCTATCCCGTGTTACTCAGGATCGTAACTCTTCCATTGCAGATATATTTGCAACCATGCAGTCGACACTGGAAACACTCCAAATGTATAAAACAAGGTGAGTGTGTTTAACCATTACACCAGATGTTTTACCTTAAAGTGTAAGAAAAGATTAATATTTGTTTTGTATTCTACATTTTTCAGATCTGGTCCAAAGGAACGCCTAGTTGATGCAGTTACACACTTTCATGGTCACCAGCTTGTAGGAAATGGAAATATCTTACCAGTACGAACCAAAGTATTAAGTGATCTGGTGAGGAGGCTACGTGATTGCTTTTGTGATGCCAGCCAAGATGTTTTGAGAGCTACCACCATTGGAAGTTTTAAACTTTGGCCAGACAAGATCAAACAAGGTATGGAAAACTATGCACTGGCTATCTGAATAAATCCGAATTATTTGTGTTTTTCTTTAAGTTATGCAGATGTTTTCTTTCACCTTTGGTACAGAATTTGGTGAAAGGGAGGTGTCCATCCTAACTAAGCATTATGAACCAATACTGGAAGGTGCCAGTGTAAAAGTTGATGAGGTTGACACTGAATGGAGCATGCTGAAATTAGAGCTATATGACAGGTAATAAAGTTACTGAAATTGTGAAAGTTCATCAAACTAAAAATGTTTGAAGTCAGTGTGTTTAAAGATTATGCAAAATCTACATGGCCAATTTTTTTATTTATTTTTTGCTATGCTTTTTAGATTTCAGAACATTCGGAGTTTGACATGGGATTCAGTGAACTCAGATTACTCGCACAAGTATCCTAACATCCTGATGCTGGTAGATTTGATCCTAACACTTCCTGCAAGTTCAGCTGAGGCAGAGCGTGGCTTCAGTCAAGTGAAGCTTACCATGATGCAACTGCACTCTAAAGGAATGTCTGAAAGTGTGACTGATCTCATGATAATTCAGCTGAATTCCCCAGACATCAAAAAGTTTGACCCAGAGAAGGCTATTCATTTGTGGAATAGTGCTTGGCAGAGACATAGAAGACTACAGACTGTCTATATGATAACTAATGGAAGATCAGATTGCTCCTCAGACTCTGATTTTGATAGTCATTATGGGAGTGATTAGAGTAGTGCAACATAACCAGTTTTCATTTTTGTATCATGCATGGAGATTTTTGTAACATTTCTTGAAAATTTAGCCAAAGCAAAAATTACACTAAGTTCACAAAAATTTAGCATTGCAAAGATGGCAGCCATTATATGTCCCCTACTGAATCTCCAATAGCTTCTCCCATCTGCCCATATACACTTGATATAAAACCAATACCAGGACCGAACCCAAAGATAATTAAAAAAAGTTACTTTAGAGGACTTCATGCCATTAGTGGCTCCTCTCATTTGTGGGACAGTATGATGTCTTGTGGTTTGTTTTCATTTATTATTCATGATTGAATTGTAGTACACTACATCCAATATGGTTACCTGTAATCTCAGCCACCAACTTGATTTAAACAAGTGTCTTGAAATAGTTGTTTAAGAAAGATCATTGGTAAATCCCTTACTTTTTTTAAACAATCAAATGAGAAATACTAACTAACCATTCTTGTCAAATGATTCTTTTCCCCTGTATCCTGTGAATCTGGGCCACACCCCATCCAAAAAAATGTGTCTTTCAGTTTATTAGAAGTGGTATAGAATCATAAAAAATGTAGGGCTGGAAGGTACCTTAAGAAGTCATCAATTCCAGCCACTGCACTGAGGCAGGATTAAGTAAACCTAGGCCATCCTTGACAGATATTTGTTTAACTTGCTTTTAAAAACTTTCAAATGACAGGGATTCTAGAAACTTCCTGAGAGCCTATTCCAGATCTTAACTACCCTTATAGTTAGAAAGTTTTTCCTAATATCTAATTTATGTCTCCTCTGCTGCAGATTAAGCCCATTACTTCTTGTCCTACCTCCAGTGGACATGGAGAACAATGGATCACAGTCTTCTTTATAAAAGCCCTTAGCATATTTGAAGACTGTTATCAGGTCACCCCTCAGTTTTCTTTTCTCATGTCTAAACATGACCATTTTTTTAACCTGTCCTCACAGGTCAGATTTTCTAAACCTTGTGTCATTTTTGTTGCTCTTATCTGGATTCTGTCCAATTTGTCCACATCTTTCCTAACTGGATTGATGATTATTTTTTCTGTTCTATCTTGGCTGACAACTACTGTAATCTCATGTAAGTTTAACATTTGTCAAACTTACCCTGCAAAAGACTTTTCTAGAGAGCCAAATTGGAGCCATTTGTACCTATCTGATTGTTGATTGCCTCTGTCAGATGGACACTCAGGATTGTTCAGAGAATTCACAGAATTCATTCTTTGGAATTTTCTACTAAAAGTTCAGTTCCAGTCAAGGGGAAAGACAACCAGTATCAGAAACAGCTTCCAGGAAATTGAGTTTCTACTCTCAAATAATGCCATCAATTTGTATCAGAAGAAAAATGGAGTGAGATTACTTATGATATTCATGGTCATCAAAAATTTCCTGGGGACTAAGACCCAGACAGGTCTTAAGAAGGTGAAACAACTTTGTGGTAAAATCGAATTTCAAGATGTCACTCACTTCTAAATCAAGAAGATCAGCTGTGTACTCTGGATATAAGGTACCTCAAATGCAAAACTGCAGAAGGTAACTCAGATGTATATGTGTAATATACACACGAAATACTTTAGATCTAAACAGTTATCAGATTCAATAATATAATAAACACAATTGTGTAATATAGTTATACAGCCTTTGAATGCATGCTTACTCTAATGGATGATGGGCTAATCAAGTACAGCTCATTAATGGGCTCAGAACAAGAGATCAGCATCATGCACCAGAAGATGGTAGAGTAGCTTTGTAAAAGATACATCTTTTATCAAATGTGAATTTTCAGACAACCACTGCGTTCAATTGGCTAAGCATTACTAATCCTATTATTAAGGAACAAAACATGGCATGGTATGTGTTGTGCTAGGTACATTATTTGGTACATAGTGTTGCCAGTTCTCACAATTTTATCATGAGTTTCATGACATTTGGTATGTTTCTTAAAGCACCAGCTCCTGGAGTTGTTAGATTCTCAGTGTTAATTTTATTTTTGTTTTAAAGGAAGTTTCAAGCCCTTTTAGTTGTGGAGGAAAGCCTGAAAATCTGACTGCAAAGGGCTCAAACACCAGAAAACAAACAAACAAACAAACAAAACCACCTGAAGTTTAGTTTTTTTAATCTCCTTATTTTTAAGTCAATCTCATGATTTAGCAGGGGCCTGGATCATGATTTTTGAATGCTGGGGATTGGCAATACTGGGTACATTGCTTTAGGTAGATTGCTGCAGAACACTAAAGAAATGGTGCTGTCCCAACATGAAGCATATTCAGAAATGTTTCATTATGGTTCTAAGGTAATTCTGTGCAAATATTATCTCAAAATTAAATGAAGAAAAATAATTAAATCCTTTTTGTTTTTTAAAATATAATCTTACACTCAGAAGAAGTTTCATCATTCACCGAATAAACAAGGAAATACATTAAAATTGGAAAAAGCTATCTAAAAAACCTAAACTATGTTTTAAAATCTTTTTTTGAATCTTATTTTCCTGCTCTGGACATTAGCCTCTCCCTATCTCCCTGCTGATCTCTCTCCTAATGACATAGTTGGGGGGGAAGGGGCGGGGGAAATAGGCCATGCTACATGTGGAGATACTGAAAGACTTAGGCTGGCTTGGAGTGTCAGTTCTGAAATCATCAGAAGAGATGGGGCTTTAGCTTATGTGAACAATGTGATTACATAGATCTGCTTACATAGGGACCACATGCACCCACATCTCACCAGCCAGTCATAGTGCTATTAATTGTGATTAATGTTCTCTATCTCTGATTCTCTTTTCATCCCAGTTTGTATCTCCAATACTTCTTGACTCAATTTCTTGAATTTCCTTTTCTCACAATCACATTCTAGTACTATCCATGAAGGGGTGTTACAAAACTCCATGTAGCTTTACAAAAGGTGAAACCAGGGGATAGCTACATCTTGGGAAGTTGTTGCAGATAGGCAAGAGGCAATTGGGTTTTCAGGAACATGGAGCCAATTAGGGTCCTGTAAATCTTACTTCACAGAGACACTGTGAGGAGGAGATATGGGGGAGATAAACAAACTGAGCAATGATGTGATGTAAGGGAAAACAGATGGCAGATGTCCAGAGCAGGAGTGACTACAGCCAAAAGAGGAAAATGGCATAAATTAAGGTTAGGACAAAGTTGATAATGGGTTATTTAAAGTTACTTAAAACAACCCAAATCATGGCCATGCTGGAAGAGGAAAGAAAGATCAACAACCTGAAATAAGAATTGTGATGTTCCAAATGTTCATGATAAACCACTGGGAAGTTCTAGATTTTAATTTATTAAACTATATAAAAATATACTATATTATCTTAGTCTGTCTACTGCTTTTCTGAGGGACTTTGCTTTCCTTTCCCCTGCACCCCCCCACAAATCAGTAAAAGTAAATTTGGGGTAGAGTACTTGATTATTAGATTTATTAAGAACATGCTACATATGAAGCTTCCCATTAAGGAGCACTTCATGACACAGATAATGATGTAGGTCTTACCAAACTTATAAAGCTTCTTTTTGATCATGTGACTCTTGTAACCTTGAGTTTTTCCATCATAGTTTATTTTTTTGATGGGTAATAACTTCAAATTATGAAATCTGCGAACCTGGGATTCTGTGTATGTTAGCAAATGGTCCACTAAATGCTAGTTTTATAAGGTGTTTTTTTTCATAATATATATCCAAATTTATTCCAAAGGTGATATCTGTCTGTTATCCTGCAAATATTTCTTCTCTGTTTCCCAGTCTATTGGAATCACCTTTGGTGTTGAAATTCATGATGGGCCATTTAGGGGTTCAAGTTCTGGATTTCCTCCCTTACCTTGGCCTCTACCAACAGACGTCATACTTGTCACAACCTATTTCTTCCTTACCAACACACACACACACACATCCGTGTGTGACTTACTACTGGCCTCAGTCTACCTCTGCTGCATTAGAACTTATGTAGTGCATTGCTCACCTGTTTTCAAGATTGAGGCCCAGCACACAGACTGTCAGACCTGCTGATTCCCATGATCAGGTAGATACTGAAAACTGTCAGGGCAGCTGGGCAGTATGCTGTGGTTGAAGCAGGAGCCGTCACAGGCTGGAAAAAGAGCAAGCATGGGCTTTGGCTGGAGCAGGAGTAGTCTGTCAGAACTACCAGGGAGCTGGGAGTATCCCCAACAAGATAGTAATGTTGAGCAAACTGGAGGGCTGCTTTCACTAGGAGCCTATATACCTACTTGAGGTCACCTGATTAGACCCTTGCTTGTGGATTGGCTGAACCCTCAGGACTTACAGGGACTTAACCTCTGATGACCTATCAGGCGCAGAACACTCAGGTTCAGGGATGACTCATCAGACTCAGAGATGACTCATCCTCTGACTCTGAACACTCATTACAATACACCCACACACACACACCTGAAAAGGTTTATCGGGGTATGACTGATGGAATTCTTTAAGTAGGGCAGGTGTATATACATTGTCAGCTATGCATGTACATTCCACAAATGATCAGCTGGATCATAACCCTCCCAATCAACAAGGTACATAAGCTTCCTCAGTGAACTTTGGAGTCCAAGATCTGCTTAACCAGGTACTCCTCATGACCCTGGACCATGACAGATGCTGGTGGAGGCTGAACTCATCTGGAAAAGGAGTTCTTGAGACATGGAATACTGGATGCATTTTCATCATCTTGGGCAGTTGGAGTTTGAAGGCTACAGAGACTGATCTGCTAGATGGGCCAACATATCGGTAATCCAGCTATCATGAAGGTCAGGTAGAGACAAAGTCAGCATGGAGAGCCATACTTTATCTCCAACTGTGATGTAACAGGTTCCCTGCCAATGGAGAGTGGCGTACCATTTGAAATCCTGTTTGCTCAGTTCTAGGTGGGCTTTCAACTCTTCCTGGATGCAGTGTTCCACTAGGTTGGAGGCTATGGGTACATGGGAAACTTGTGGCATACACAGATGGAACTGGGAGGGGAAACCATAGCTGGTATAAAAAGGACTCTGGTGGGTTAATCTCCCACCAGAAATGTTATACCCAAATTTGGCAAAAGGGAGGAGTCAAACCCAGTCATTCTGGTGGTAATTGATTAAACAGTGGAGGTATTGGTCAAGAATTTGGTTTTCGTGTTCCATCTGTCCATATGTCTGGCAGTGATAAGTTGAGGAGACCAATAGAGCCACATCCAAGAACTTGAACAGCTCTCTCCAGAAATGTGAAATGAGCTGTGATCTTCAGTCAGATGTAATGTTAGACAATAGATCATGGAGTCTGAAGACAGGGTTGAAAAGCAGTCATTCTGTTACGTCCAGTGTGGGAATTTGAAGACACAGCATGAAATGGAACATTTTTGTAAATAGGTTGACAATGACTAGCACAGTTGTGTGGCACTGGCATTTGGAAGTTCAGTGATAAAATACTTGTAGATAGGTTGAGACAGAGTTCTCAATGGAATCAAAGTGCCTAGAGGAAGTCTGGCAATAGAAGTCTTCATTCAAGTGCATATGTCACAGGAGTTGATGTACAATTCAATAAACAAATGCAGTTTTGACAACCAAAAGTTCAAGACACCAACCTCAATATTTTCCAATGACTGAAATGGCTAGCCAGGCACAAATCATGACATAGCCAGAGTATTGCTAGAAGTGGTTGACCATTAGAGATATAAATCTGGTCTTTAACCAAGAGAATCTTGTTCTTGACCAAGAATTTTGAGTCAGGAGCTAGGTCAATTTCAGTCAACATAAATTTAGCTGCAAGTGGATCAAGGTGCAGGAGGGACTTCACAAGAGACAGCAAGGGTGTTGTTCACTGCCACATTAGCAAAATGGCATGGTTTCAAGACGGTGGCAGGTTTTGGAGTGTCCCATTTCCTTTGTCTTTGTGCTTACTCTTACAACACAACCATTCCTGGCACCTGAGGGATAAGTCAGGATGAAGTCAAACCTGAAAAAAAGGGACCAGTGAATATGGCATTGATTGAGAGCTTTTGCAGTTCACAAGTACTCTAGGTTCTTGTATCCACGTATGCCTGGACTGGGAAACATTCACCTTCCAGGTGATAGCACCATTCTTCAAAAGCAGCTTCGATGGCCAGCAATTCTTTGTCACAGATTTCATAGTTTTGCTCCATGTGCATCAGTTTCCAGGATTAAAATGCACAAGGATGAAGCACACCCTGGGGCCCATGTCGCTGTGACCATACTACTCTAGTCACATAATTGGAGGCATCTGCTTCAACAACAAAGGGTTTTGCTGGGTCCGGATGTACCAAGGTGCGTGCTGATGTAAACACTTCCTTTAATAGATCAAAGGTGGACTGGGCTTCTTGTGTACTAGCAAATATACTATTCTTCCAGAGCAGCCAAGTAATCAGGGTCACCATCTTTGAAAACCCCTGGATGAATCGCCAATAAAAATTAACAAATTCCAGAAAATACTGGACATCACAGACATTTCTTGGGGCTACCCAATCCATGATTGTGGATACTCCTGAGGT